CAGACATGGAATTGCTGGATCACATGACAATTCTTTTTTTCTTTTTTTGAGCATCTGCCATGCTGTTTTCCACAGCAGCTGCTCCGTTTACAATCCCACCAGCTGTGCACAAGAGTTCCAATTACTCTTTGCCAACACTTGTTATTTTCTGTTTTCTTTTTGATAACAACCATCCTAAAGAGTGTGAGGTGGAGACTTTAAAAAAATGTCCTCGTAAACAGCCTATGGTGTTAAATGTTCCTTATGCATTTTAAAAGAATGTGTGTTCAGTCTTTGTTGGGTAAATGGTCTATAAATTTCAATTAAGTCAAATTGGTTGATAATGTTATTTAAGTCCTCTATATTTTATCGGGTTTTCTATCTACTTGTTCTACCTGTGTCTGAGAGTGAGAGAATTGTTTTGAAATCTTCACTATGGTCACAGATTTGACTATTTACTTTTGCAGTTCAATTAGCTTTCACTTCACGTATTTCGAAGCTCTGGTGTTAAGTGCACAGCAGTCCTAAAATGCTAGCACTAGGGTTGCCATGGCCTCCTGAGGAACTGATCCCTTCAGCACTATGAAATGACCTTCTTTGTCCTTGGCTGTGTTTGTTACTCTCAAATGTGTTAATCTGATAGCAGCACTCCAGCTTTCTTGTGCTAAGTGTTTTCAATCTTTCTACTTTCAATTTTTTTATTTCTTATAGTATGGATATATTTTTTCTTGCTTTTGAAATCCAATCTTACGATCTTTGTTTTTTAATTGGGATGTGTAGACAATTTACATTTGAAGTGGTTATTGCCGGCACGGTGGCTCACCCCTGTAATCCAAGCACTTTGGGAAGCTGGGGCGGGAAGATCACTTGAGGTCACGAGTTCAAGACTAGCCTGACCAACATGGTGAAACCCTGTCTCTACTAAACATACAAAACTTAGCTGGGCATGGTGGTGCATGCCTGTAATCCCAGCTATATGGGAGGCTGAGGCAGGAGAATTGCTTGAACCTGTCATCCTTATTTATGTTTCTCTGCAATGGTTCATTTCTCTCTGGCTGCTTTTAAGATCTCTTTATTACTGATTCTAGGAGTGGGGTCTGTGGCTTGGGCCTTATGAAATCAGAATCATCTCATATCTTCTGGTGGCAGTGCAGGCGTAGACAGGAGACCTAGTTTGAGTCAACAAGACTGGAGAAGACATTTGCTTCTTCTCCAGGAAGTTGTGATTTCCCTGTATCAGCCCGTCTGCCTCTCCAACATTGGGGACGGTGAGCTACTGTAATCTTCTACAGATCTAAGAAGAGTGATTGACTTTCCGTTTGTTCGGGTTTTCAACCTGCAGCAATTAATTGATTATGAGGATGCACATTGGGAACCAGCCAACACAACCCCTCCATGAAAATCACCGGCAGGAATTCATAATTAGCTGAAGGAATACCAGTGAGTAAAAACTAAAACCAACTCACGACGGGTCTGGTGTTGCCTCAGGAACAGCAGGCTTCCTGGGAGCTATGCACATTGTGCGTTCGTGACAGAATGCCGAATTAGAGTCTTCCATAAACTATGCACATTGTGCGTTCGTGACAGAATGCCGAATCAGAGTCTTCCATAAACTTTAGTAACATGCTACTTTTAATCTTTGAAAACAAAAATTCAGGGTCTCCTCAAAACTTACTTCATAAAATGCTAAAGTCACCATAAAGGCTTCAGGATGATCCTTCTGGGCTGAGGACCCTTCTTTGAGAATCATAAGATAAGCGCTATTCAAACCTGTTGGTCTCAGGATCTCCTTTTTTAAAGTTGAGGTGAAATTCACATAACACACAATGAACCGTGATAAAGCATACAATCCAGTGGCTGTTAGTGTGTTCAACATATTGTGCCATTATCTCCTTTCTCTAGTTTCCAAACTTCTTTGCCACCCCAGAAAAATCCCCTGGCAAACACTCATCTGCTTTCTGTCTCTAGGGAGTTGCCTATTCTAGATATTTCATAAAAAAAGAGACATATGCCGGGCGCAGTGGCTGACGCCTATAATCCCAGCACTTTGGGAGGCTGAGGTGGGTGGATCATGAAGTTAGAAGATCAAGACCATCCTGGCCAACATGGTGAAACCCGGTCTTTTAAAAAAAAGAGTCATACAGTAGTGACCTTTTGTGCAGGGCTTCCTTCACTCAGCATAATGTTTTTGACCCTCATCGAAATGGCAGCATGGATCAATAGTTCATCCTTCCTGTGGCTAATACTTCATGGTAGGGCTATGCCATGATTTGGTTATCCATTCTTTTTTTTGGAGAGAAGAGTCCCTCTGTTGCCCAGGCTGCAGTGTGTGGCACCATCTTGGCTCCCTTCAACCTCTGCCTCCCAGGTTCAAGGGATTCTTATGTCTCAGCCTCCCAGGTAGCTGGAATTACAGAAGCCTGCCACCATGCCCAGTTAATTTTTTGTATTTGTAGTAGACACAGTAGAGCTGGGGTCTCACCATGTTGGTCAGGCTGGTCTCCAATTCCTGGCTTCAAGTGATCTGCCCACCTTGGCCTCCCAAAGAGCTGGGGTTATAGGTGTGAGCCACCACGCCCAGCCTTTACGCATTCATTCGCTGTTGGGTATGTGGGAGTTTCTACCTCTTGGAGAGTATGAACAATGCTGTTATAAACAGTTGTGTACAAGTTTAGGTTTAGACATGTGTTTTTGTCTTTCTTGGATGTCTTTTTTGTCTTTCTTTGTCTTCCTTGGATTCTACCTAGGAATAGAATTGCTGGGTCATAGGACATCTATCTTTAGCTTCCTGAGGAAATGCCCATCGCTGCTTTGCCAGGTGGCTGCACTGTTTGACACCCTACCAGCCATCTGTGAGCATTCCTGTTCTTTCTCTTAGTCATCTCAGTGGGTGTGAAGTGTGTCTCATTGTGGTTTTGATTTGTGTTTCTGAAATGACCAGTGATGTTGATGTGCTTTTTGGCCATTTGACAGGACCTTTGCATGTTATTTAAAACTATTAAAACTATAGAGGATTCCATACTGTGTGCTGTGGCTCACGCCTGTAATCCCAGCACTTTGGGAGGCCATGGTGGGTGGATCACTTGAGGTCAGAAGTTCGAGACCAGCCTGACAAACATGGTCAAACCCCATCTCTACCAAAAATACAAAAATTAGCCGGGTGTGATGGTGGGTGCCTGTTGTCCAGCTACTTGGGAGGCTGAGGCAGGAGAATCGCTTGAACCCAATGGGCAGAGACTGCAGTGAGCTGAGATCATGCCATGGCACTTCAGCCTGGGCAACAGAGTGACACTCCATCTCAAAAATAAATAAATAAATAAATATACTATAAAGGGCTTTTGGTTACGTATGTTATAGCTAGCAATACTTATCATACTTATAACAAAAACCAAGACTTTTTAAAAAACATCATTTTTTCATTTATAAACAATAGCAACAAATTGATTACATGTTAACAGCAGAGTGATGACATCACCCCCATATATCACATAGCTTCTGGAAAATTCCACCATACCTTTTTGAGAGAAGGAGAGTGAAATGGTCAATAACATCTTAGTATTATCATGACCATATAGGCCCCTCAACACCCAGAAGGAGTATTTCAATTCTACTCAAATAAGATTTACATATATATATATATTTTTTTTTTGGTCTGAGATTCTTTTCAACTTAGAAAACATATACCTGAAGGGGGAGGGGAGGGGGCACAGGTGAGTCTGTATGTGGCTGGTCATCAAAAAGACAGAAATAGCTCTTTAATCTGAATCTGGACCCTGCTGAAAACTGCCCATTATTTTCCCTAACACGCTCCTGCCCCCTCAGAAATGAAAACTGGCTGATAGTCTCATGAATGAATAATCTCCGTTCATGTCCCTAACCATGTGATGTTGCTGAGCTAGAATGTGGACTCGGCGCATTCGGGAGGGAGCTGAACACCAGACATGGAACCAGGGCGCACACTGGAATCTCAGCTCCTGAAGCTGAGTTTTTCGTGGGAGTTGAGACTGGGTGGGTGTGCGGAGGGATAACACAATGGCTCTCAAAGTGTGTTCCCTGAGGAGCAGCAGCAGCAGCAGCACCTGGGAATTGTTAGAAATGCAAACCCTTTGGCTCTCTCCCAGACCGATGACTCAGAAACTCTGGAGATCAGTCCAGTGAACTGTTTTAACAAGGCCTCCAGGTGATTCTGATATGCTGAACTTTTTGCTAATGTTTGAGGACTGCTGACATGCTCTTCTTTTCCTTTTTTCCTTAAAGATAGGGAAAAATGTGTGCTGCATACACTGGAGTACAGTGGTGCTATCATGGCTGACTGCAGCCTCGAACTCCTGGGCTCAAGCAATCCTCCTGCCTCAGCCTCCAGAGTGGCTGGAACTACAGGTGCATGCCACCACATCCAGCCAATTTTTAATTTTTTTGTAGGGACGAGTTCTTGCTATGCTGCCCAGGCTGGTCTCAAACTCCTGGCCTCAAGAGATCGTCCTACTTTAGTCTCCTAGGGAGCTGGGATTATAGGCCTGAGCCACCATGCCTGGCCTGATGTGCTCTTTTCCATGGTTGCATTCTACCAATATGACCTCCTTCCCTTCTCCCTCTTCACTTCCTTCCTTCTTTCCTTCCTTCCATAAACATTGAATGTACAGATCCCTTTCCAGTGTTCTTAGACACTTATTAGAAAATGTACACACTGACGTTTGTGTGTCCACTTGTAAACATCAGATTAGTGCAGGCCAAATTCAGAGTATTTTTCACAGCAATCCCCGAGAAATTAACTCTTAAAGAGGCCTCTTAGTAACGCACAAGTAAAACTTTGATAAGTACGATTCTCTGCCTGGGACCCCATTCATCCTCTGTTCCTGACATTGCCTCATGGGGCTTGGCTGCCCCGTTTTGAAGTTACCCAAAGACTATTCTGCCATGGCCTCTGTGCTTTAGAAATTCAAGACTGGAGGCTCAGTAAAAGGGGGTCAGCTTAGAAGACTGAGCCAAGGGTAAAACGATCTCTGGGTGGCAGCCCACAGTTCTTAAAGGATGTTCATTAGGTGATGTGAACGGGAGAATCAGCAGTCAGAAGCAGCTGAGAAAGGAGCCACGAGACAACATCTAGTTGTATAGGGTAGAGTGTGTGTGTTGTGTATTTACATTAGTGCGAGGGCTTTCCTTGGGATTCCTGAACTGGAGAGTTGAGACGAGATTAATGTAAACCTGCTTTTCTCTATACTACACGGAGCGTGGAGAGAGTTCCAGATTATTCAGGCTTTAATGACACATATACATGTAAATAAGATGGAGAATTCTGGTGGTTTTGTCCTTTTCTTCAATGACAGGATTGCTCTTTGGAAGTGGGTAGTGCTCGCTCTCTGATGGGACTGAGCTGGCCTAGAGACCGGGTTGCCACTGCCCTGTGTCCTGCGATGCGACTTCAGAGCTTCCAAAACCCAGGTGAGCACAGGGCATGTCTCCTGGGCAAGTGTTAAACTCCTCTGATGTTGCTTGGTGCCTCACGACTTCTGTCGTCTGTTCTTGACTTCTTACCAAGAAGTTCTCGTTCTTTCGGTTTTCTAGATTGTTCTTCTACTCTTTCTCCTGTAGTGGTGTAACAAAGTCATGGTCATATGTGTAATACAGCACCAAAAAAATGTGGTCCACATCCTAAACCAGTGCGGGTGGAGCGTTCCACTTTAGACCCAATTGACCTGCTAAGTCGTAACCACCCCCAGTGAACTGTCGCCTTCCCACTCGCTGAAATCTGACCTCAAGGTCTCTCCATCCCTCCAGGGGCCACGACTGGCTGCCCAAGTTCAGCCTCTGCTCTGTGGTTTCTCACAGCAAGAGAATTCCATCCACTGTGTGGTAGGTGTGAAACTGAGGGCTGACCTGAACAGGCCTGCCACACTTGCTTGCCTCACTTTTAGTCACCTGGTTCCAGGTGATTTTTAAACCCGTATAACTGAAAGTCATGTCGCTAAGTCATATATAACTACACTTCCGTTGGCTTCCACCCAGACGCTGTCTCTGGTGGATAGGTTATCATTGTAAGGACTGCTCACATTCCTTTTTAGGAACTTCGGATCAGCTCTTGTTCAGTTCAAGCTGGTTGAGGCCATCAGCTCGCCAAGTGGGCCTGTGTGAGTGTCCACTGGGTGACCTTTTGAAGTCAGAGGGCTGAAACCTCCACCCTTAGATCATGCTCACAAAGCCTTTTTGTGCACGTGTCCTATGAAAGTGATAAAGCTCACAGTCTCTGTGGATGTACTTTACAATTCTTTCTATTTATTTATTTATTTTCCACCACTAAGAGTCATTCGGGCCAGGCACGGTGGTTCATGCTTGTAACCCCAGCACTTTGGGAGGCCAAGGCGGGTGGATTACTTGAGGTCAGAAGTTCGAGACTGACCTGGCCAATGTAGTAAAACCCCATCTCTACTAGAAATATGAAAATTAGCCGGGCACGGTAGCATGTGCCTGCTGTCCCAGCTACTTGGGAGGCTGAGGCAGGGGAATTGCTTGAACCCAGAAGGTGGAGGTCGCAGTGAGCCAAGATCATGCCACTGTACTCCAGCCTGGGCAACAGAGCAAGACTCCATCTCCAAATAAAACAAGGTAATGTACGATCTTGGTGGCGTATCCCATTGTCATGTAGTCAAACTGCCACCACAGTCACCCACCCTTCAACCTAGCCTCTGTGCTGCAGTCAGACCACGTGGATGGCCAGCGTTACCACCTGCCTTTTAGCCACATAAAGCCTTCTGTGGTTCACTACTGGATGAAGATTCCTCATCTGGGAGGAATCCTGGGGATGAAGCCCAGCTCTTCAGCCTGGCCTGGTGTTCCCCGACTTGGTCACTGCCGTCCCTAGGGCAGGGCATCATTGTCAGGCTGCCCCATGCACCCAGCTGCTCAGCACTGCTTGGCTTCTCCCCAACACCTCATCCCACCCTTGACACCTCACGCCCTTCCTCATGCTCCCTCTGCCTGGAAGCCATCATCTGCAGCTCCCTACCTGGCCCCAGGCATTTCGGGCGCTGTCAGATCTAAAGCCTTCTGTAAACCACCGTGGAGGGGCTTCTCACTTTGTTCCTGTAACACCTCAACATTAGGGTTTCACAAACTGTATTTAAAGTGAGTATGTTTTCCTTCTCTTCCACTAGTCTGTAGGCACCTAAAAGTAGGACCATGTTGTATTCATCTTTGAGTCCCTGGCAGAGTGTCCGTCACTTAGAAAATGTTCTTTAAGGTGTTTTTTTGTTTGTTTGATTTTTGAGACAGTGTCTTGGTCTTTGCCCAGGCTGGACTACGGTGGTGCAATGTCAGTTCACTACAACCTCCGTCTCCAGGGTTCAAGCAATTCTCCTGCCTCAGCCTCCCAAGTAGCTGGGATTACAGGCGCGTGCCACTACGCCTGGCTCCTTTTTGTGTTTTTAGTAGAGACAGGGTTTCACTATGTTGGCCAGGCTGGTCTGGAACTCCTGACCTCGTGATCTGCTTGCCTCGGCCTCCCAAAGTGCTGGGATTACAGGCATGAGCCACCGCACCTGGAGTAAGTTTTCAAAAACTACGTAGCAGACTATAGCTGTGGAACGGGAATATTAAACAGCAATTAACTGTGCTAAATGATTTGCATGCATTAAAGCTCTCCGTTTCTAGCCAGCACTGTGCTATGGAACTTTCTGAGATGATGGAAGTCTTTCGTAGTTGTGCTGTCCAATAACATAGACACCTGTGGCTAGGGAACTCTTGAAATGTGGCTAGGGCAACTGCGAAACTGAATTCCTAATTGTATTTAATTTATTTACGTTTAAACACACTTAAGTAACCACAGGTGGCTAGTGGCTACTGTATTGAACAATACGGCCTTAGCCTTTTCCCAGTCCTCAGTGAGCTCACAGGAATATCTAATTTCTCCATACTTTGCACAGAGGTCCCACAGCACAAGGCTCCACGCAGAGGTGTGCTGGTGATGTCTAACAAGCAGCTCTCCGAGGACGGTTGCCTGTCTCTCATGGTGTAAATCCTCTCTCCACACCCAGCTTGCCGCTGGCAATGTGACGTCCCTGAACAGGTGGTTGGGAAGAGATGGACGGTAGCCACCATCATACGGTATTTCCACCATGCAGACACAATGGATGCAAACTGCCCCGAGAGCAAGGATAGCGGTAAAATGTAGCAAATCATTAGGAAGCCATCGTTGTAAGTCATTCTTGCTCCCGTATTTAACGTAGTTTACTGAACTGTAAATTTGAATGCTTTAATTTTTTTTGAGACAGCACTCATTCTGTCACCCAGGCTGGAGGGCACTGCAACCCTGAAGCCCTGGACTCCAGGGCTTCTCCCACCTCACCCTTCCCAGTCGCTGGGACTACAGGTATGCGCCATCACACCTAGCTAATTTTAAAATGTTTTTATAGGCTGGGTGTGGTGGCTCAGGCCTGTAATTCCAGCACTTTGGGAGGCTGAGACAAGAGGGTCACCTGAGGTTGGGAGTTCGAGACTGGCCTGACCAACATGAAGAAACCCTGTCTCTACTAAAAATACAAAAAATTAGCCGGGGGTGCTGGTGCATGCCTGTAGTCCCAGCTACTCAGGAGGCTGAGGCAGGAGGATCACTTGAACCTAGGGAAGTGGAGGTTGTGGTGAGCCAAGATCACGCCATTGCACTCTAGCCTAGGCAACAAGAGTGAAACTGTCTCAAAATAAGATAAATAAAAATATGATAAAATAAAATGTTTTTGTAGAGACAAGGTCTCTTTGTTTTCCAGGCTGGTCTCCAGCGAGCCTCTCACCTTGCTCTCTCAAAGTACAGGAGTTACAGGCAGGAGCCGCTGCTCCTACCCTCAATACTTTAACTTTACAAATGGCTGGGCTTAAAAGCCAGTTTGCAGAAGCCTTGAAAATGTAACCACTGGCTCTCACAAGCCACTGCGATCCTTCTGCAGCACGTCATGGGTTCCTGGTCATTGCTCAACAAATGAGATATTTCCCCAAACAAAACTCTCTTTGGCTAGGCTCTGTTGCCACAAGAGGGCACCATAAGTTGATATCGTATTATAGGAAGGATTTTGGACAAACTCTGACTAAAGGGTCATTTCCAGATGTATGTTTGAGTCTGTCCAAAGATTGTAATTCTGATCCATTGAGATTCTTGGGGGAACTCACGTGGGTTCTCACTGTTCTGTTTCACAGCATAAACACTGATCCATTCCTACTGCCAAATAGCTTTGTCCTCTGGGCCTGAACGTGTTTGGTCTTCAAATTAGCAAATGAAAAAAATCCTGCTAGGTGTTAAGGCTTGTCAGGTGTGCAGGCTGAGGAAGGAGAGGGTTAGAGTACTGAGTATACCCTCAACATGTACTCCTAAAAGGACACCTTAGGAAGCAGCTGACACCTTAGAGAGATTGGTACACTGTCAGTTACATGACTCATGCCTGCTACAATAACCCTGTGTGTGTGTGTGGTGGGGGGCTTATCATTTGTATTGCAATAATTTATACATTTAAATTCCCATGAGGAAAATTAGGAGTATGTTATGGGCCTGATGACTCATCTAAGAAGGGAAGCAATCTTTTATTTTTCTCTCTGGCTGGGCCAAGAGCTTCAGTTTTGGGGGAATGGATCTGTATCTTCTCAGGGTCTTACTGTGGAGTTTGTATGAGGGTTGACCAGAATGTAGCTGGCAGGCATCAAGGAGACCCTGGATAATCAAGAGACATGCTAAGTTTCTAGAGTTTCCTTTTTCTTTTCTGTTTTTCCCTTTGCCACTCCCTGAACTGCTGCAGGTGATTAGGGAGAGCACGGGGTGGGGCTGGGTGGGGCCCAGGACTTGGCTCTGACCCTGTGCTGCCTTGGTGATGCTGGACTTACCGTCTCTGCTGCCAGGTGAGCCCACTCAGGAGGAGGACGCTGATCAGCAGGAAAACACAGCAGGCCACTGTCAATAGAGAGAAGGAGTTCAGCAAAGGGCACTGAGCTTGGCATGAGGAGGAGCAGCAGGAGCCAGGGCTACAGGGCAGGCTGAGGACATCCCCAAACAGCAAGGCGGAGGCTGCAGCCTCTCTTCTCCGTCTCAGGAGGTAGGTCCCTCCCCCTGGGATTTCTTAGGAGGCTTGACGAACAGGGTGGGGAGGACAGGGTGAGGGTGGAGGGAGCTTTCCCTCTGGAGGAAACCTTCTCCCACACAAGCCCTTCAGAAAGGGTCAGAGGCCAGGCCTCATTTCAGGACACAGAGAGCGCCTGGTAAAAGAAACATTGAAATATGCAGATGAAAAGAAGCACATTAACATCTCTTGAAAGGGTTCAGGTTTTCTAGATGCTGCTCCGCTGAGGTTTTGGAGGAAAAACCTGCTGAGGTTTTCCCAGGCAGATGCAGCCTCAGAGTCTGTTTTTCCCTCATACCAGGAAGTGACTGCTGTGTTTCTGGAAGCCTGTCCTCTCTGCCTGGCTACATAGCTCCTTCCTCCCACTCTTGACCCCTGGCAGAGGCCTGGGGCACAGACCTTCCAGATCAGCTTGAGAGAAACTGATGGGGCTGCCTAGAGACTTCATTCATAACATCCTATAACTGGTTCATGGGATTCTGAGTTATGTCAGTATCTGGATTAGTCTTTTACTCACACATTTTGCAGTGTAAGGAAGGGGTCCTTTCAACCAACCAACCTACCTACATACCAATCAACTAACCAACTAACCAACCAACCCACCAAACTACCAACCAACTAACCCACCAAACTACCAACCAACTAACCCATCAAACTACCAACCAACTAACCCACCAAACTACCAACCAACTAACCCATCAAACTACCAACCAACCAACCAACCCACCAAACTACCAACCAACTAACCACCCAAACTACCAACCAACTAACCAACCAACCAACCAACCCACCAAACTACCAACCAACCAACCAACCTGCCAATCTACCAACCTATCAACCAACCAACCTACCAACATACAAACCAACCAACCAACCAACTAACCCACCAAACTACCAACCAACTAACCCATCAAACTACCAACCAACCCACCAAACTACCAACCAACTAACCAACCAACCAACCAACCCACCAAACTACCAACCAACTAACCAACCTGCCAATCTACCAACCTATCAACCAACCAACCTACCAACCTACAAACCAACCTGCCAACCAACTAACTAACCTACCAACCTATGAACCAACCTGCCAATCAACTAACCAACCTATCTACCAACCTACCAACTAACCAATCTACCAACCAACCAACCCACCAAACTACCAACCAACTAACCAACCTGCCAATCTACCAACCTATCAACCAACCAACGTACCAACATACAAACCAACCTGCCAACCAACTAACTAACCTACTAACCTACCAACCTATAAACCAACCTGCCAATCAACTAACCAACCTATCTACCAACCTACCAACCAGTCAACCTGTCCACATCCCGGCCTGGGCATACATTTTGTCCACAAAGCAAGTGCCCACTCACCTGCTAGCTGGTACTTCGTCGTAAGTATGAATGTCTCCATGGTCGCAGCCACTTCTGTCTGTACCTGAAAATCTGTGAAAAGGAGATAAAGAGAGACACTCCTGCTATGGACTTTAGGATGACACGAGGCTGAAGGAAGTCAGGGCTTCTCTGTGGATGAGAAGCTCAAAGGCTGTTGGGAGACACGTGGTGGTGGTGAGGGCAGGTATTCCATCTCTGAATGGGGACCGTGCTTGGTCCTGGTCCTGGATTCCCTCTTTCTGACACTTGCTTTGGGGCCTGCAGTTGCTGAGGTCCTGTCCCTGCTCAGAGGGAGAGGAGGCTGCTGCAGGTTTCTCCCCTACAGGTCATCTCTGCCCATCTCCCTGAGCCTGGCTCCTGGCCTCCCCTGTCCTTTGGACTAGGTCTCTGTGGTCCAGCCTTTGTCTTCTTGGAAACTCTCCCGCACCTGTCGTTGTGATGAGGCAGGAATTCTCACTCTCAAGAAGGCTGTCAGGGCTTGCCTGAGGCTCCTCTTCACCTGGGGAAGAGAGTAAGTGATGCTGGGGGAGCTAAAGACAGGAGTCAGGGCCTCACTCCCACCCCATCCGAGGTGGCCGGCCCCAGATACACCTGAGGATGCAGGAACCCTGGTGTGGGCACTCCACCGGGGGATGCCACCCCACTTGGTTCCACTCCAGGGCACTGGGAAGCGGTGAAGTGGCCTCAGCAGAGCAGGCGAGGCTGAATTCCAGTTCTGACCATGGCTGTCCCCAAAACTCTGAGCAATGCTTTCTCCCCAGCCTCCCTAATCAGCCCTGGTTTCCATCCGTGACTTGGAAATAGGTCATAATACGAATGCCATTGAGCCGTTGGATGGAGCAGAGATGCACTAAGGACGGCTGCTTACATGCCAGACCCTCCCCTCCTCTGGGGGGTCGGCACCCCTGGCTCTGCCCTGCTGCTCAGCCTCTTCTAAGGAAGCAACAGGCATTCCCTGGCTGTTAGGGTGGCCCCGGGAGGCAGCTGAGGGAACAAAACAGCCTCCCCAGGGAACCCAGGAGAAGGTGTGAGTATGAGAAGTACAGGGAGCAAGAAAACCAGGAATACTTGAATGTAAAGTCATTTTTTTTTTAGACAGTCTCGTGGTTATACTGAGTGAAACAATAGGATATCTCAGTGGATAAATGAAAACTATTAATTTTTTTTTGAGATGGAGTGTTGCTCTGTTGCCCAGGCTAGAGTACAGTGGTGCTATCTCGGCTCACTGCCACCTCCACCTCCCAGATTCAAGCGATTCTCCTGCCTCAGCCTCCTGAGTAGCGTGTTATAGGCACCCAACACCACGCCCACCTAAGTTTTGTATTTTTGGTAGAGACGAAGTTTCACCATTTTGGCCCAGCTGGTCTCAAACTCCCAGCCTAAAGTAATTCACCTGCCTTGGCTTCCGAAAGTGCTGGGATTACGGGAGTGAGCCACCGTGCTTGGCCTGTATGTAAGTCACTTTTGATTGTCGTGATACTAACATTTCAGAAGGCAGATAGCAGGAGACCTGACACCAGTGGGCTGAGCGTTTGCATGTGTGCCTGTCGTGCACGTGTGCACTCTTCATGTTTGTTTATCCAAGCTCAGCCGGGGAATGGCACAGGGGGAAGGAGCATGCTGACCGCAGGGCACTGTTCAAATCATGCATTTACACGATCACCAGTAAGAGGAAAAATGCGTGTGTGGGGCATTGGACTTGTCCTTGGAGCCAGAAGAGGTCTTGGTGACTTAGGGAAGTAGTGGACTCAGGAGCAACTGTGAGGCAGCACCTAGGGTGCTTGGGAGAGACCTTTAGACCTTTCCTTCTCTCTGTCTACACCTTCCTCCCCACTCAGGGCACAGGGGACCTTAATCAAAGGAGCCCTTGGGGTCTATCTGGTCTATTGCATTTTTTTTTTCAGAATGAAAAAAAATGGAAGTCTTGGGAGATCAAGGGGCTTGTCCAAAGACACACAGCAGGAGAGGTCAGGGATCTTGCCCTGGTCAGCCTGATGGAGAAAAGCAATGTCGTGGACCCCAGACAGGAGCTGCCTTACCTGGAAACTGACTGGGCTCCGTTTCCTTCGTGCACACGAGCCGGGGCTGGGTCCACCTTGTCTTTCCATGGGTCATTTTGCAGATGCTCTCGGCAGGACCTCTGTGTAGAGCCCTGTATCCCTGGATGCACTGGTAGTGAACCGTCTGCCCTACCACGAAATGATAAATTCTTTCTGTGCCTTCATTTTCCCACTGTGGAGGCTCCCTGCAGTGACCTGGAGGAGGGAAGGAATGCTCTGAAGGCAAGTTGGAGACAGCGCTGAGTCTAGGTTGTCTCTTGCTAGGGACTGGACCTTTGTTCTTACTCTTTTTTTTGAGATGCAGTCTCGTTCTGTCACCCAGGCTGGAGTGCAGTGGTGCGATCTCGGCTCACTGCAACCTCCACCTCCTGGGTTCAGGCAATTCTCCTGCCTCAGCCTCCCGATTAGCTGGGATTACAGGCATATGCCACCATGCCTGCCTAATTTTTGTATTGTTAGTAGAGATGGGGTTTCTGCATGTTGACCAGGCTGGTGGTCTCTTGAACTCCTGACCTCAGGTGATCTGCCCACCTTGGCCTCCCAAAGTGCTGGGATTACAGGTGTGAGCCACCTCGCCCGACCGGTTCTTACTCTTTTGAATGTTTGCTCATCCTTTCATTCAACCAATATATGTTGAGAACATCTGACATGGGGAAGTTTGCTAGGCCCTGTGGGAAGGCACGAAGACCCTGTCAGTCCTGCAAGGGGCAGACTTGGGGAAGAAAGGCATGTGAAGATTTTCACAAGGAGAGATGTTGGCTATGGGGACACAGAGGAATGAGCACTTCATTCTGATTGTTGCTGCCTCGAGAGAGAGGAACACCACAGCCGGCTCTTGGCAGACACAGCAGGGGTTGATAGTGGATGGGAATGGGCGGGGCAGTCTTAGCTGAGGCACAAAGGCAGGCTCCAGCCTATTTGGGCCAATGGAGCATGAGGACCACCTTGGATTTCTTCTGGACAAGTGAGGAAGCTCATTCTTGGGGATGGCTGGTGGGCATCTTGGGATAATGGCAGAAGGACTGGGGATAACACCAAAGCCAGGAGGAGGGACAGGCTGAGGGAACCTCAGGGAAATGGAGCACCGTCTCTGATCAAGACACACCTGACGCTTGACACACATGCACCCTGTCAAGACCGCTCAAAATTTCCCACACCACAGAACTTTCCACTCACCCAACTACAACCCAGGCCTGGCTACCTGTGGCCTGAGACCACGTCTTGTTCTGATTAAATCTCAGAATTCCCCACCCACAGCCCCCAACCTGGACGTATAGAATTGTACGTGCCCTCTAACCCCAGCCTGTGAAACTGCACACGTGCTCTGAACCTCCAGACTCTCCCCAACCCTGCATACCCAGCACAGCCTCGGTAAGTCTCCTGCGGAGCCTCTGTCCCAGTCCCAGGCTGGCTCCTGCTGTGTGGCACCTTGAACATCAGGGCTGAACTTGTGTTTCGGTCTCGGGATAAAGGTTGTTTGACAGCCAACACAATTCATAACTATCTGAACATGTTTGAATTGGGTTTACTTCTTTCCAATGAAAACACCCGAACTGAAAAGATCTTGGAAACATCCCTCAGCCAGAACCAGCCTTCGAGAAAGGGCAAAGCACTGGCCCCTTGAAGCCTTCCAGTAACTCTGCAGGGGGATGTGGAGGAAGTGGAGGAAACGAACCCACGTGCTTGGAAACACCAGTCCAGGACAAAGTTGGGGCGGAGTGGGGGGGGCGGTAAGAACATCACGTTGCAGCTGTGCTCCTAGATTAGTCTGTTCAAAACAATAAAATAATGGAAGCTGTAAGTAAATCCCAACTAATTTAAAATAAAGTCAGCAGAAAGTTTCCTCATCTAAGCTGGGAGCCCTGATTAGATCACATAGGAGGTCTGATTTCAGCCCTACTGTGTGAGCTTAGCCAAGTCTTTTTAACTTCTTTCCATCTCAGTTTCTTCAGTAAATTGAAGCAACACTTCCTGGTCCCTGACTCATTGTATTGCCAGGCTCCAATGGGATGCTATCTGATCCAGTTCTTTGTAAAGTTATAAACTAGCATAGAGCTCTGAAGTTTCCTAAGGTCGGCCTGACCTCAGAAAGCTAAGTTCTTCCTAGTGGGTTCTGTTTTGCTTTCTTTTTTTTTTTTTTTGAGGGCGGACAGTCTTGCCCTGTCACCCCGGCTGGTGTGTAGTGGTGCAATCTCTGCTCACTGCAACCTCCGCCTCCCAATTTCAAGCAATTCTCATGCCTTGGCCTCCTGAGTAGCTGGGACTATAGGCGCCCACCACCATGCCTGGCTAATTTTTGTATGATTGTAGAGATAGGGTTTCACCACGCTGGCCAGGCTGGTCAGGAGTTCAGGCTGGTCTCAAACTCCTGACCTCCAGTGATCTGCCTGCCTTGGCCTCCCGTGGTGCTGGGATTACAGGCCTGAGCCACCACATCTGGCCCATTTTCTTGACACAATGGCTGAATCACGATTCATTTGGGAAAGCTGAGGGCAGGCAAGGGGCAGCTGCAATACCCACTCATGCACAGACTGCTGGCCAGGACATGTGCATCTGGAGCTTTTGAGACTCACAAGAGTGACATGCACATTTTATAACCTTTCCCTGAAAGCAATATTGGGAAGTAAACAGTTTTTTTTCAGTGCATTGTCTTGTGCTTAAGGGGAAGAGGCAGGGCATTTCCTTGAGGCCAGGGATCGTTGATGCATTCTTGATTGTGTCTTCTATCAGCAGGGCCTGGCACACAGACCCAACAGATGCTTGTAAGTTGAGTTGAATTTGGGTTGAATTCTATTTGGCCAGCTAGCAAACCAGAGAGTCAGCCCAGGCCTGGACTGGCTGCCATCAGATTGGCTTAAGTGGCTGAGCAAACAGCCTTTGAGCAGCCCTGCACCCGTTCTTGTCTGCAGTGATGTCCTGGGAGGAGGGAGCAGCATGCCTGTGTTTACAGAAGGCAGGGAGGACTTTCTTCCTTTGGGTACATGTCATCTACCTGCAAGAGAAGGAGGAGCTCGTAGGAGCGAGATGGAGGCAGGTTCATCTCTCACCTGGAAGGCTCGGTTGGTCCACCTGCTGCATCGGATTTGGGATTTCAGTGGGTTTTCTCTCTTCCTGCTGTTCAGGTTGAGGTGTCACTTGTTTTGTTGTGTTCCTAGGGGCTAGAAAATATGGATGGAATTATGCAGATGATTTCACAAATGCTTGAGAGAAAACACTGTTCATGGCCTGGCATGGTGGCTCATGCCTATAATTCCAGCACTTTGGGAGGCCAAGACAGGCCCGTCACAAGGTCAGGAGTTCAAGACCAGCCTGGCCAACATGGTGAAGCCCTGTCTGTACTAAAAGTACAAAAAAAAAAAAAATTAGCCAGATGAGGTGGCACAGGCCTGTAATCCCAACTACTCGGGAGGCCGAGGCAGGAGAATCACTTGAATTCAGGAGGCTCAGGTTGCAGTGAGCTGAGATCATGGCATCGTACGCCAGCCTGGGCCACAGTGTGAGACTGTCTCAAAAAAAACCCAAAAAACACTGTTCATGTATTCATTCACTTGAGAAGCACACCTGGCCAGTGCCCACGATGTGTCTGGTGGTGTCTGAGTGCCAAGCTTACAAAGACCAAAGCAGAGCACTCCCTCCCTCGGGTGGAGCCTGCTCACACCCCTCCCAGAACCGGCCGCTCAGTATTCATGTGCATATGGCAGTGCTCACGACATGTTTCTGAACCTGTGTATGTTACGTATGTTGTGTGTGTGTGTGTCCCACCAAAAGGGACCTGCTGCTTGCTGTCAATTGTCTCTGTGTCCTTTGACGGCAGCAGGAGTGCTCTCACTCCACAACGCACTGCTCCTTTGCGTCCTAAGGCTGTTCACAATGCTTAAAGTTAGAGATGCCGTCTTGATGCAATGACAAGGAAACTTCTAGAACAACCCTCTCTATCGTGAAGAGTTTGGCAAAGGAGTTGAGTTTGAATGCCTCAATGAAGGGAGGGTGATCAGAATGCCAGCTCAGGATAAAAGCGGGCATCTAGGGCAGGCGTGGTGGCTTACACCTGTAATCCCAGCACTTTGGGAGGCTGAAGCAGGAGGATTGCTTAAGCCCAAGAGTTCAAGAGTAGCCTGGGAAATGTGGTAAAACCCCATCTCTACCAAAAAATACAAAATATTAGCCAGGCATGGTGGTGTGCGCCTATAAGGCCCAGGCAGGAGAATCACTTGAGTCCAGGGGTTCAAGTCCAGCCTGGCCAACATGGTGAAACCCCGTCTCTACTAAAAATACAAAACTTAGCAAGGCATGGTGGGGCGTGCCTGTAGTCCCAGCTACTCAGGCAGCTGAGGCACGAGACTCACTGGAACCCGGGAGGTGGAGGTGGCGGTGAGCTCAGATTGTATCGCTGTACTCCAGCTGGGCAACAGACCCAGACTGTCTCAAAACTAGTAATAAAATTGTGTTTAGTGAATGACTATTTCAGGAACCACTGAGGTTAGTTATTCTGCAGACTGGACTGGCCCATTTGTGTCTGCAGGGCCGAGGGAGCAAAAGCCGGGCTCTGTCTCACTCTCTGCTGCACTTCGTTATGTCCGTACTCACAGAAGGAACACTTACAAGAGCGGATGCACTGACACTGGTTCTCCCAGGATGAGTGGCTAGAGCTTCCTGTACAGAGCATGTAGGGTGACCCGCTTTTTATTCTACGGAACCCCCTGCTGCATTCACAGTTCAACATCGTTCCCTCCTTGTAGGCCAACGCTTTGAACGTGGCGTATGTGATCCTTGGCGGGTCATCGTCACAGAGCTCTGCAAAGAAAAAGTGAAGCCTATTAGGCGCTCAGGAGGCCCCAGGCAAGTACTCACATATTTAATCCTGTAATGACTTAATCACCTATTTCTTCGCTTTATTTAAAAGATGTTATGCCCCACGTTCTGCTAGAAAGGAACTAAGGCTGCTGCGATTGTTCCTTAGAAGCCTCAGTATCAGAGCTGGCTCAAAAGTTCCTGACAAGCAAGCTCCTCTCCAAAGCAAACCTGATGAGTAGAAATTAATGAGGTTTTATTCTGCATATGCTTCGTGTCAAGCAAGTATGGAAAGAGAGGAGGGCCAAGAAATGTGGAGAAAGGAAGGGGCAAAGTTACATCTATTGAATTGAGGGACAAAATGTGTCTATGCGAAATACTTTTAGGATATATGAATTGTTCGACTTTCTATAATTAATGATTCTGTGCCATAATTTTGAGAAATATACAGAAAGTGCTTCACTGAAGAAATGTGTATTTCTCACCCACCTGCCCACTTCTGAGTTCACCAGATACCTTCTTATATTATGAAGACCCTACCCTCCCTCAGCCTGAAAAATGGACTCTGGTGTCTCACTAAGGACATCAGAAGTAATGGTCAAACATCAAACTGTGAAGGGGAAACATGGCACAGGTCTAATCAGAAAAATAATTCCACTGCATACTTGGCAACAAGTTCTCTGCTTCCAGAGATTCGATTTTGGGGGAAAATGTCACATGCTGGATAAAGGAAGTGGACGGGGAGATGGCAGGCACAGGAATAGGTGGGAAAGCAGGAGTCTGTCCAGGACCTCTCCATCGATGGAAGCCCACAAGGTGGCTGGTCAGGCTGTTGGCTGTATTCATGGCTGTGGTTTGGCTGGTTGTGTATTTAGTTGTTCAGGTTGAGTGAAGCTTCTCTGTGCCCTTGGACTCTGCTTAGCATCTTTCCTGTATCCTGGAAAACCATCCCCATCCTGACTCCCCTAAGAACTGAACGTAAGGAGGCTGGGTATAGTGGCTCATGCCTGTAATCCCAGACCTTTGGGAGGCCAGGGTGGTGGGTCACATGAGGTCAGGAGTTGGAAACCAGCTTGGCCATCATGGTGAAAACCACAGTCTCTACTAAAAATACAAAAAAGTAGCTGGGCATGGTGGCATGTGCCTGTGATCCCAGTTACTTGGGAGGCGGAGGCAGGAGAATCACTTGAACCCAGTAGGCAGAGGTTGCAGTGAGCCGAGATCATGCCACTGCACTCCAGCCTAGATGACACAGGGAGACTCTGTCTCAAAAAAAAAAGAACCAAAGGGAGGGAGAAATCAGACAGCTTGGACATCTCTAACCAACAAGGAACTAAGCAAAAGCAATTTGAATGGGCTTCATGGGCCAGAAATTACAGTGGAACAGGCAACATGAGCACTCAATAAATTTTGGTAATCCCATAAGGCAAGAGCGGCAGGCAGCGTGGTGGGAAGGGGAAAGATGCATTTCTAACTTCTGGCTCCAGCAGCTTACAAGCTACATAGTTTTATTGCTTTACTTCTCTAAGGCTCAGCTTCATGTTGTAATAATTATTTTAAGCCGGCACGGTGGCTCATGCCTGTAATCCCAGCGCTTTGGGGGCTGAGGAGGGCGAATCACCTGAGGTTGGGAGTTCGAGACCAGCCTGACCAACATGGAGAAATCCTGTTTCTACTAAAAATACAAAATCAGCTGGGCATGTGCCTGTAATACCAGCCACTCGGGAGGCTGAGGCAGGAGAATCACTTGAACCTGGGAGGTGGAGGTTGCGGTGAGCCGAGATTGTGCCATCACACTCCAGCCTGGGCAACAAGAGCAAAACTCTATCTCAAAAAACAAAACAAAACAAATAATCATTATTTTATTGACTTAATGATTACAGGAAATAATATACTAAGGTAACTTGCAGAAAGCCCAGAAAATAATAGGCATGGAATAGATGGTAGTTGCGTTCCTTTCCTTTTTCTCACTGTCCAGAAAAAGAGAATGGTAATTCAGATAGAGACTGGACTGAAGTTTACCTTAACCTCTAACTCCTGCCAAAGGAGAATCGTTTGAGCCTGGGAGGTGGAGGTTGCAGTGAGCTGAGCACCCCAGCCTGGGTTACAGAGTGAGTGAGACTCTGTCGCAAAATTAAAAAAAAACCAAAAAAAACTAGACCCCTAAAATGACCCAGATTTTGGAATTAGCACACTAGGAGTTTAAAACAATTGTAATAAGTATGCTCAGTGACTTAAAGCAGAGGTTGGTATGCTATGACCTGCAGACTTGCTGCCATTTATTTTTATAAATAAGGTTTTATTGGAAGAAAGACATACTCATTTATTTACATTGTGTCTATGGCTGCTTTTCTGTTGTAATGGCAGAGTTGAATAGTTACAGTGGAGATTATATGGCCAGGTAGCCTAAAATATTTATGCTCTGGCCCTTTCAGAAAAAAGATTGCCAAGTACTAATTTAAAGAAAAAATGGTTATAATGAGTGAAACAATAGAATAATCTCAGTATATAATGAAAACTATTAATTTGTTTTGAGATGGAGTCTTGCTCTGTTGCCCAGGCTGGAATGCAGTGGTGCAATCTTGGCTCACTGCAACCTCCCACCTCCCAGGTTCAAGTGATTTTTCAGCCTCAGCCTCTCAAGTAGCTTGGATTACAGGCACGTGCTACCACACATGGCTAATTTTTGTATTTTCAGTAGAGACGGGGTTTTGCCATGTTGACCAGGCTGGTCTCAAACTCCTGACCTCAGGTGATCTGCCTGCCTCGGCCTTCCAAAGTGCTGGGATTACAGGCACAAACCACTGTGCCCAGCCAATATTTTTTAAAATAAGAAAACTAAAAGCTACAGTATCTGAAATGAGCCCAGCCAGGGCTTGAAAGCAAACCCATAGAAATTATCCAAACTGATGTACACAAAAAATTTGGAAAAGAATAGATCTTTGTATCCTGTGAGACAATATCAAATGATCTAACCTATATTTAAGTGAATTCCCAAGGAGAGAAGAGAGAAAGAATGGAGCAGAAAAAATGTATGAAGAAATAATGGCCAAAATTTTTGGAAATTTGATGACAAATATTGACTTACAGATCCAGAGATCCAGATGTTCACTACACCAAGCAGGATACATACAAAGAAAAGCACATCTAGATATATCACAGCTAAACTGCTGAAGACCAAAGATAGTGAGAAAATCTTAAAAGCGGCCAGAGGGAAAGGACACATGCCAGGGGGACAATGATGAATAATGAGTGACTTCTCAACAGAAACTATGGAAGACAGAAAATAATGGCACTACATATTTAAAGTTTTAAAAGAAAAAACCCGTCAGCCTTGAATTCTACCTAGAGACAATATCCCTCAAAAATGAGAATGAATTTAGTGTATTTTCAGATAAAAGAAAGCTTAGAGAATTTGTTACGGCACATCTGCATTACGCTAAAGAAAAATTTTCAAGCAACAGAGAAATTACAGTAGCTAGAAATATAAATCTACAGGAAACGACGAAGAACACTAATAAATACTTAGATAAGTGAAAAGATCACCTTTTCTTTTTAATGTCTTTGAAAGTTTTTTTAAACAACTGTTTAAAACAAAAATAATAATATGGTACAATAGGTTCTATTGAACATGTAAATGTAAAATATACAGCAGTTCTAATATAAAAGTTAGGGAAGATGGAATTGTACTGTTTTAGGTTTTTTATGTCACGTAGAAAATGGTACAATATGAAGTAAGTAGATTGTGACAAGTTAAGAATGCGTACTGAATAGCCTAGAGAAACCACCAAATAATACTAGAAAGAGTGTAGCTGAAAAGAAAGCCAAATTTGTTTGGTTAGCCAAACTGAAGAGAGAAAAGGAAGAACAGAGTAATAAAAATAGAAATGGAACAACTGAGAAACAGAGAGCAAGAAGGTAGATTGAAGCCAACCCTATCAATAGTCACATTAAACATAAATGGACAAAAATTCGTACATTAAAAGACAGAAACTTTCAGACTGGATTAAACAGCAGAGCCCAACTATAAGCTGTCTTCAAGAGAACACACTTTAAATACAATAAAAATGATGGGTTGAGAAAAAAGGATAGAAAAAGATAGATGCTACAAAGATAAGGGCAAGAAAGCTGATATGGTTATATTAATAGCAGGAAGTAGATTTCAAGATAAGAAACATTATTCTCAGATAACATGATTGTTTACATAAAATTACTGAGGAATCTGCAAAATGACTACCAGAATTTAGCAAGGTTAGAATTTCAGTATATATATATAACTTGTAGTTAGTTCTATATACTAATCAACCAACTAGAAAATTATAACTTTAAAAACAATTGTATTTACAATTACATCAAAAAACATAAAAGGTTTATAAATAAGTCTACCAAAAACTTGTAATACCACTAAACTGAAAACTCTGAAATATTGCTGAGACATATTTAGAAAAAAACTATGCAAATGGAAAAATATACAAGGTTTATAGACTGGAAACTTTATTTAAAAAAATCCATTCACCTTAAATTGGTCAATTAATTCAAGGCAACTACAATTTAGAAATCCAACACTTTTTAGTAGAAATTGGCAAGTTATTTCTAAAATCCCCTTGGAAACGCAAAAGACCTAGAGTAGCTAGGACAGTCGTAAAAAGATGTGCACATTTGGAGGATTCGTGACATCTGATATTCAGGCTTTCTACAAAACTATGAAAATCAACGCAGCATAGTATTGGCATTAGGACAAGCAGTAATGAAACAGAACAGAAAGTCCTGAAATGAACTCATTCATGTTTCTTCAACTGATTTTTTTTTTTTTTTCACAAATAAATGTGCCAAGGAAATTCAATAAGAAAGGGAGAATCTTTTCAACAAATGCTTCTGGAACAAATGGATAAATGTATGAGCAAAAAAGAACCTCACCTGTTATGCGGGAATTAATTTTATTTTATATATAAGCACAAAGATCTATATACTAGATCTATACATTATAGATTTAACCATAAAAG